ACAAATGCCAGTAACTAGACTTTTTTAAATACAACACCCTATATTTTATTGCATCATTGCATGGTATTTTTATGGGCTTTTTGTCTATAGAGGGTTTGTGCTGGGGTCTATTTTGTAAAACTTGTGAGATTTCTGGAAAATGAGAAATGTTGACAAAAGGAATTGAGTAGGTCTACCTATTTCGTAAAATTTCATATCCATACAATTCTAAAAAAAATAAGTTTCAACAAAATGAAGTTATAATAGAAACAGAAGTACATCACAAAGGAAACAATTTTAGTAATCTTTACAAGAACAGGAAAAGATGATTGACAAGAAGGAATGTAAAAATTTTGAGGAAAGTCAACTTACAGAAAATGCTTAATGAAAACGAGCCACCCTGAATATCTCAAAAACTAAAAAAACTTTACAAAAATGCCAAAACAGGTCAATTTCATTTCCGAGGGGGACATTCTTTACCGTAATTTTTTAAACACCCCCAGTAACTTTGTAACCCCCACGCACCCCAACATTGGTGAAAGCTATTTAAGCAAGCTTTTTGAAACTTTTTATCAAAATTAAATAAAATCACCCATTCATGAGATACAGGGTGTTCCAATAAAAACAAACTACCCTAATTTTGTTTTTAAGAGGGGGCTTTTTTCCAATTTATTTCTATACATTTATAAAATATCGACAAAAAAATATTCTTTCAGCAGTCAGTATACAAAGGAACTTAAAAACTATTGCTATTTTTTTAGGTACCTATGTATACATCCCTTTTCCTTGCTCACCCAATAAAGAAACAAAAATAAATTTGTCACAGCTCCAATAATAATTATAACAACATTAGTAAGTTTCTAGTAATTTATTTTAATAGTTTTTATTAAAAGTAGGTATAATTACTAATTAAAAACATTACTTTTTGCGGATATCTTATGAATACCTAGATAATCTTAGTCAACTTTACAAAAAAGAATCAAAGAACATTTTTTTATTATTATTATTTTAAGTGCGTGTGTGTGTGTCATTGGAGATTACGGAATTGAGGTGGGAGAAGTTGAAGGGTTAACGAAGGTGTTTTTAAAATTACGGCAAAAAATGTCTCTCTCGGGAACAAAATTGACCTCTTTCGGCGTTTTTGCAGTCTTTTTAATTTGTGAGATATGGCTCGTTTTCATTGGGCCACCCTGTATAACTCACCATCATGTTCCACCAAGCTGCTTATATGTATATAATCTTCTAGTAAATAAACTTTAAACTCTAGCAAGCTTTGCTTCATAAGTTAAAAAAAACACTTCCGTCAAATTTTACAACGGCGTACTAGATTTCTTTTTTTTTCGAAAAAAAATCAACATTTTTTATGTTGCAAAAATCTTAAATATAAATTTTACAAAGTGAATCTCATAAACTCTAAGTATATTGGTAAAACGCTCATAAAAACTGCTACGCAACGATGCAATAACATACCTATAGGATGTTGTATTTGAAAAAGTCGAGTTATTGCCATTTATTTTGTAATTTGTCATTTACAAAAAATCGTAGTCGGCGATGGAACTCCGAATTTGCCTTTATCTCAGAAAATGCGCTAAAGCTTTTTTGTAACAAAAGTTGAGGGTTTTCATGTTAAAGAATTTTGTTGTGTATCTTATTTTGAGACATTGTGTATTAAAAAAATATTTTTAAAATGTGCTTCATTATTAGACCTACCATTAAAAAATAATCAAGTCGATAACTTGGATAAAACTTGCACGCACCCTTGGGTCACCCTGTATTTTAGGTCACCCTGTATTTTTTAAATCAGAAATAAATGAGTTTTTCAAAAATGTCATAGAAACCTATGATTTCATTTAAAAAAAGATAAGTTTGCCTTATTAAAGCTAAACAATGGTTAATTGCATTATTAAGTCCTAAAAAAGTGCCTTAGAATGTGATTATTTCAAATGTTTATCTTCAATAATAACGAAGATATGATTTTTTTTAAATATCGCTAAAATGTCAACTTTTGTCTATAAGTCGAAAACAAAGGACGATAAGGTTCAAAAAATGTGACCAAGAATGTATTACCCGTTTTTGGCTAAACCTCCTAGTTATGTAATTCCCCTATTCGGACATCCAAATTAAATGCACCTCTCTGTACAATTATCAAAATGGTTAGTAAGTTAAATTTTTCTTAAAAAAAAACATTGCACATTTGTACGCTAGAACAGAAATCCGAATAACAGAAATAAATCTACTTATAAAAATTTCAAGTGTCGGTTTTAGGTTTTGCCATGAAATAGGCATTTTTATTTCAACATCACCGAGAAGTTCATAGAATCGAATATTCACGCAATAGAGGGTCTACTGTACTTAATACTAATTTATAAATTTTGAATAACTCACCAAATTGTTAATTTTGATCCATTCTATATTTTCAAAGACGCTTCGAAAAATTCATTTGGGACAATTTTACCATACGCCAGCACATCAAAGTCTACATAAACACCGGAATTTTATCACAAAACTAGATAATTTTAACCAGACTTAATAATACCGACAAACTAGCACATTAATAAAATTGTAACTAATGTGAGGTGAGAATGCGCTTATCTCTCTACCCCGGTTGAAACTCGCAAAAAACACCTCGCAAAAAACGCACGGTCACTGCTTCTATAATAAATTAGTGAACTGAACCATTTTTTCTATTACAAGGAACAAAAATACAAGGTGATTTTAATAACATATGTGCAAATATTTTAAGAAGTGAGTAAAGCTCAAAATAAAACAAAATAATTAAACTTGCCTTATCCCAATGTTTTAGTTTCTGAACTAATTAACCACTAACTAATTAACTAACTCCACTTTGGTGTCGAAAAAGTAGTCAAAAAATGCAATACTTGAGTACTTTATCCTAAAGTTTACATTGCTAATAATCGGTAAAATTGATGCAATGAAATTGCTTCATATCTTCAATATCTTCTTTTATGTATACATAAAGGGTGTTGCAGAAAGTTGGAAATGATCAAATTTTAAAAGATATAAATAGAAAATTGATAATGCATCACCTAAAATTATTTTCAACCATACAGCATGTCCCCAAAATAACTTACAATACAAATATGTGTTTTTTTAAATAAAACACCGTATGTTTCTTTGCATTTTTCGATGTAGCCTTTTAAAACAATGTTTTCACGCTAAACATTTATTAGTCGATTTTGCTTAGTTTTAGAAATAAGACGGTTTTTTGGACAAAAAGTGCACTTTTTAAAAATTTATTACACCCAAAAATTAAGACACCTAGAACAAATTTTTTCTTATTTCGTCAAAGAAGAAAGTTCAGAATTTAAAGCTTTAACAATTTTTTAGTATTTTGCATTTGTAATGATTAAAAAATGAAAAAGTTTGTTCAAAGTTAAATAATTAATTATCATCTGTGATCATATTTGTTAACAATTTGAATTTGTGAAGTTTAAGTCTACGCCCCAAATTTAAATTTATTCCACGAATAAAACCCTCTGTATCTCAAAAACATTTGGATAAGGCAAGTTAAGTTATTTTACCTTTTTTGGAGCTCGTATTAACACTCGTTAAAAAATTTGCACATACTTTAAAGTCACCCTGTACAAATTTTGAAAAAAAATGTACATGCTCCATTTCTGCTCTGCTTCTCTAATTTGTGTTTTTTAATAATTTTCTTAATTTGTTTTCATTACATTTTTATCTACCTTTTTCTGGTTTTCCACTTCTGCTCTTCGTTTTCTTTTCTGTTTATTTCTTCTTATTCTAATCTGTATTTTTCATTTCGCATTTCTTTCAACCTCTTGCCATGTTTGCTGATTTATTTCTTGTATTTATAGTAAAAACTCAAACAAATTCACAATCACAGTTTAAAAAATCAATTTCAAAAAAATAATACATAAAAAAGATTACATTTAACGGGTTCTGCACGTGGCTAAAATTAACGTAGGTATTTATTTTAGTTACAGCCTGTATATTATTACTATACCGCTATTGTTATTTATTTAGTTGAAATCGAGAGGAAGGTATAGATGTACCAACTTTTAGGATTTAATCGAAATATCTTAAAATTATTTGTATTAAAGTATTAAAATTAACTTTGCGTTGTATGGAATTACTGGAATTTTTAGGATTATCGGAAATAATTTCTTTTAAAAATTACGTTGATTTTATTAAAACTATCAAAATTAATTTGGAATTATAAGAATTAATTTAAAAACAATAGAATGACGATAAACTATTAAAATAACTATAATTCCAGTGGATATTTTTGAAATTAGGATTGATTATACACATTTTTTTTTCAATTTAACGGCTTCTCAAATGAAATTAATGAAGAAAAAAGTTCCTATTCTGGACCATCAAGAATTGAAATCCGAACCTTTTTAACTGATTAAAATTCTTCTAGATTTTTCTTTTTATTCCCTTTTTGTTTTTTTTTTTATATTTAAATCATACAAACAAATATCTTATAATTTTTAGGACTTTAGTGGTTTATCAATTTGAAGGTCTGTAAAAGTATACAAGTTTTTTTAAAAAACAATTTTTATTTTTATGGTCATCACTCATCAATCAACATCATTATTATTATTAGGTACTACTGTGTGTGTCTTTTCTTTTTTATTTCACTTTTGTTTGCAATAAATCAGGAAAAAAGTGAACCGAACCAGGGATCGAACCACCAACTTTGTATTTGAATTGCAAAGTAAAATCCTTCAAAATTACATCCTCAGGCCTCATTTTTAGTTTAATATTTTCACTACTGACAAAAAAAAACATTTGAAATTTTTGAATTCAACGAAACCCAGAACTAGGTAAAAAAGAAAGTGATGACAAAGCACCCACCACGGGAGATTAACATGAAAGTTTCAAGTCATTATTGGCTGAAAAATCCAGGTATAAGGGGATTATCTCGGTCATAATTACCCCAAAAAAGGAAAAATCTGTGAAATAACCACCGAGCGGGAGACTTACCCCAATATAAAAGCGAAAAATTTTAATGTCCTCAGTTCAATATGAAAATGTCGTTCCTGCGACTCGGGTCTTCCAGACGCTACAACGGTAAGCCAATTAATTTAATAATTAATTAGAATTAAATTTTTTGTAATTTCTCCAGTGACCAACACTCCCCCCACCTTCCATCTCAGAGCCCTCCATGCCCCCGTCATCGCCGAACTCAAGCAACTCCAAGAATTCGACCTGAAAATCCGACTCGAATATCTGAAAAGTCGGGCGAGGACTATTGAACGCCAAATCGTCTCCGACTTACGACTAATGCACGACTTGCATCGCCAGGAAATCGCACTTCTTCGGGAAGAATTCAGGTCGAAAAATGTGACCTTTCAGCGAGACTTGGAACACTATTTTCGACAACAGAAGAGCCACATTGAAAGTGTTGTGTTTAAATATGCAACGGAGATGTTGGAATTGGACCCCAATTCGAGCAAAGAAATCGAGAAGTTGTTGAAAAGGATGATGGATGAGCTAGGGGTGGAAGCCGAGGAAGTGGTGTGGGGAGGGGAAAAGCGGAAATGGTGGTTCTGTGGCTGTTTCTAACTCTTGTAAATATGTAAATAAAAAGATTTATATTGTATTTTTGTATTTTTTTGAGCAATAAAAAAATGGCATCATCTATTTTAGTTTATTTTTCAAATACAACAACAAAAGCATGAACGCAAGAGAAAATTCTATCTATAAAAATTTCGAAGTTATTTAAGTCTACGAATAAATCTATAAATCTACGAATGTATAATACTGACTACAAATTTCGCTATGAATTAATAGGTATTTCGTAATTTTGAATTGTAATAATAAAATTGAAGTAAATTTAAAAAATAAGAGCCAACGAAGGAATACTTTAAATCTATACAGGGTGCGCCAGAACTCGCGTCCCCAAAAAAATGCCATATAAAGTAAGATACCAGGGGACACATGGAAAAAATGTTAAAAAAAATTTATCGATAAAAAATTCGAAGTTATGAGAGTTTAAATTTTTCACTTTGACTATTAATTTCTGTTGGAAAAATAATTTTGCAAGTTTTTTTGCTACAGGCTATTAGAAGAGGAAACAAGAAAGCTGTATCCTAAATTGTAACTCTGCTAAATATTATTTGTGGCTTTTATTGACAACATTTTGGTACCTTAACTAAAATAGTTATTTTCGATACAAGGGCGCTGTCAAATTATTTTTCAGGAAACCAAATTTTGCAGCACGAAGCGTAGCTGAGTGCTGCAGTGGAGGTCGAAAAATAAGACAGCGCACGTGTATTGAACAACATTTTTCATGATCGTCATCGAAATTTCATAAAAAACGTGAATTTATTGAAAATTTTGAGGTTAATTTTGACAAATGTCAAATCAAGTATATAAACTGAAAAATTTATATATTTAGTTATATACCATTTTTCACCTTATGTATCTAAGGGAACGATCAGGAAAAATTATAAAGAAAACACTTACAAGTTTATCAGTATCATTAAATAGACATAAAATCCTGTCGGATTTGATTAAGAGTTTCATTTTTATTTAGTAAAATGTCAATCGAGACTTTTCAAAACATCGTACAGTGGGGGACACGAAAAACTGGGCAGATGTGTCATTCAGTTGTCAAAATTTCTAAACTATACCTTAGGTACTCATAACCAAGCTTTTAATATTTGGCACATTTGTCTTTTTGACACTGACAAAATCGAAGTTTTTGGAATCCCCAAAGTCACCGAGACATCCCACTTTGAAGAGCTATTGTTTGAAATTTATTAAAAACTAATATAGCTGGCATTTTGCAAAAATTGATGTATGTCAAAGTTAATTTGACAGTTTTTTAAAATATCAATCATAATGACGGTAAAGGTACACTTACATTGACATTTTTTGAAATGACAAGAAAAGACTGCCCAAGATTCCGTGTCCCCAACTGTACTACAAAAGACAGTTGGGGAGACTAAGAAAGGGTTAAATGTACTGAATTAAAAAATTTCTAGGCTTTCAAAAAAATAATTATTTTTTTTTTTTGAAGAAATGCTTAAATTAAAAAAATGTCAATCGAGACTTTCTTAAAACATCGTGTTGCAAAAGACAGTGGGGGAGACTAAGGAAGTGTTTAGAAATACCCGTTTAAACAATATCTAGAATTGCAAAAAAAACGTATTAAAATGTCTCAAATACATATGTTAAAATTTAAAAAATGTAAATTTAGACTTTTCAAAATATCATGTTACAAAAAACAGTTGAGAAGACTAAGAAATACCGGCTTAAAAAATCTTTGACTTGGAAAGAAACATTTAAAAACTTCTTAAAGAAATGCTTAAATTTAAAAAAAATGTCAATCAAGACTTTTTTAAAACATCGTGTTGCAAAAGACAGTGGGGGAGACTATTGGAGACTATCAAATTTTGTCAAAATTTATAGGGGAGGCTCG